AGCCTGGGCAATAAGAGTGAAACACTGTCTCAAAAAAAAAAAAAAAGGAACAAAGAAGATACGCAGAGAGTGACAAAGATGAGACACCATGTGATCCAAGAGGAAAAGGAAAATGGGTAGATTAGCCAACAGCTTTCAGATTCTCAAGAGAGCTTGTGATTATTCCTTCAGTCAGGATCTCTAAGATGTCCTACATCCTTATAATCTAACCAGGAAGTCCTAAGCCTGCATGGTCCCCCACAGTCGGCCTACACCTCATTGTTGTAATTGGCCAGTTGTTCCAGATACTTTGGATTGCAAAGGTCAAGAGACTCACTCCAGGAGAAAAACTGGAAAGAAGGCAAACTGTCAGCACTAAGACTGTGGATAGCTCCAAGAATAGAGAGGGAAAACATCTACCCTAAGAAAGAGTGAGTTATCATAAGATACTCATGAACTGGATTCAAGACCAGAGGGATGTCTGAGAACTAAGGCAGGTTAAGGACAAGCCACTTTTTATCTCCTTGTCTTGCTCAGAGCCTTCACAGTCTCTTTCTAATAATGTCTCTCCCTCTCTCTGTGCTACCTCTCTATATCAATTGGTTTATTCTTCCCCCCGCCCCCCATTCTGTGTAGCTTTCCTCACTTCAAAGATTCTGCTCTCTCATGGTTTTTATTTTTTCATAACTTCAGCCTGTTGTGACCCCCTCATGGCCCTACCTTACCTCATAGCTTCTCGTTACAGATTCCTTCTATTTCAGATCCCACTGCTAACTGTATTTTCAAGTTCAGCTTCAAAAAAGGGAATATGATCAGCCCTGCTCATCCCTTTGCACCAGGTCATGGGCTGCTGGCCAGTCTCTGATTTGACTATTCTTAGATCAAAGCTCACCCCTTATGCAACCAGCTCCAGCAAGTAGGGCAGGGTCACATAGTACAAAACACAGCAATTTAGGGCTATCCATTCAGAAGAGGCTATGAGCATGGCAGACAATTTGACCAACATGTTTGACATTCCAGCTTCTCCTTACCACAAATATTCTTAAGATACTGTCCTCTGCTTCCAAAAAAATTACATAATAAGACAATCTAGTTTGTAATGTTAGCAATTATGTGGTAACTTTTATCTTCTTCTTTTACTTTTTGGAAGTTTCCAAATTTTCCATAAGTAATATGTCCCAATTTTATAGGTATATTCAGAAATATTTTATTAACTATTAATAAAACAGATATAGCATCATTTATACAACAAATGTATGGTGTGCATCAACCATGAACCATGCTAGATGCCATAAATACAGCAATAAAGTTGATAATAAAGAATCTCTTGTCATGCATGGAACACAGGTGATCACATAATTTGCCAGCCAAATCAGGACACTTTTGAGAGTGAAAACATTGCTATTAATAATCAGACAGAGACAAAACTAGGACTGTACTGAGTAAACCTGGGCAGCTAGTGAATGTTCCCATCTATGTATTCCAGCTAACATTTTAGCATTTTGAGCAGAGGACTATCAGATATAGAGCTTTAACTCTCCTCTCACAAATTAAGTTCTGAAGTAAGGAAATTCCAGGAATATTCCAGGCAAGCATTTTGTGACAGGAAGTCCTTCAAATCTCAAAATCCTCATTCTACACTTTGGAAAACATTCACAGTTCTAGTTCAACCAAGAAGGATAAGGTAAGGGAAGAGTTGGTTAAGAGGGGAAGCTCACATTGAATGTTCATGTGCCAGCTATGTGGTTTGGTGCTCTCCGTAAGTCATCAAAATTAATCTCATGACAACTCTGTATTGTAGATATTGTTATATACCCATTCTGTTGATGAAGAAGCCAAGACTCAGAGAATTTACTTACATCACCCAAGGTAGCACATCTAACGTAAAGACTAAAATTGGATTCCAGCTCTAGCTAACTCCACTGCATCAAGCCACCTTTCAAAAGTTAAATTTGAGATCTTAAGATACTGAACCATTATAATGTCTAGTTTCCCCTAGCAAAAATGTGATTAGTTATGAGTCTGTCATAAGAAGTCAAGTTATAGTGGTCATTTCTTTCATATCATCAGCTTCTCAGCTTACCCAAAGCAGAAATGTAGAAAATTAGCTTAACTGGATGCTTCTTCTTGGAGCATTTCTCATGGTACTTATGTAAGTGGTATCTGAATTTGCCATGTAACTTGAAAATGAGATTTTTGAAGGCTATTAAAAGAAAACATCTGAAGAGTGTGGTTAGCCCGGGGAAAACACCCAAAATGCTGAAAAGCATTTGCAACTAATTTTCTACCAATTGAAGCAAAAGAGAGTAATTCCATTGATATCAGATTGGTTAATTAAAGAGATATGTCAAATCTGTTTTGACAAATATCATCATAACTTAAATTTCTTGTTCACTTTAATGGGATTTGGCCTGCATCAACTTTTTCAAAACATGAACGTGGAGTAAAGTAGATTTTGCTGGGATGGTTTTACTATCTTTGCTTTGGTTTTTCCAATAAGTATAGCCTATATGTATCAAGCATATATAGTCTATTTGTCAAGAAAAACGGTATTCTGGATCAAACACAAGCACGGGAAAAATGCTCTCTTGAAATAAAATCACCTGTGAGATATTTTTTACCGCCCTGTTAGCAGAATTCATTTACCGACTAACACTCAAAGAATGTCAAAAACATAAAAACTTCATGGAAAATCATATTGTCTCTGTGATTTGTTTTATCTCTGCTTCAGATCACAATAGTACATTTTTGACTAAATGTCCTTGGAGAAGCCGCATTGAAGATATTGCAATTGGAAGACCCTTCTGAAATAGAAAATCTCTTTTTATCCTAAGGTCTCTCTTGAAACAAAAGAGCTTTCTAGCAAAATATTTTGGAAATGCTGAAATTAAAGTTCAGGCTTATGTCCTTATGTACTTAAAATTTGAGAGATGAGAAGATAAAAGTATAATAGAGTGCTGAGGAATGAAACTTTCTTTAAGATGTGAATGTTTGGGCTCGGTACATAAATAGAAATGGTCATTTCATTTAATGCTAAAGGAAAATGAAATCCCTTTGTCTCACACAAGTAAGTGATGTATCTGTTCCAGAACTTGCACTACTCTTTACCTTTAGATCTCAAGCTGCAATTCAAACCAGTGTTTTAAAATACTAAGGGTCTTTATTCTCCCCTTCAGTTTCTTCCATGAGCGGAAGAATCTTCTTTCGTGTGGAGTAGCTGATAACAAAAAGTGGCTAGCACAAGAATGCCCCCACTGAATTCACAGTTGGCTTTGCAGAGCTGAATTACATAGAAATAAAGGCAACTACTTACTGTCTCAATGAATTATGGATTTTAGAAAACTGTTTAATAAGGAGAAAAACACTTAAGACAGCTTCTATTGAATTTGGCACACACAGAAAACAAGACCAGAACTGATAACAGATTTTGTAGGAAAAGTTAAATTCTAATTTTATGACAGTGTAGAAGCCAAAATATCTTCACAAGGACAGATCCCACAATAACCTCATGTTAGTAATCTTGGAGGTGTGTGAAATTATATTTTTAAGTAGTCAATCTTCCTTTACCCGCAACTTTAGATTAAAAACTTTTGTACTTCTCTGTCCTTTATTAGGCTGCCAGATTTACAGAAAATAATAAACGCTTCTAACATTTCCTACTTCCTCTCCTTCAATTGTTCAGTTATTAGGAGACTGGATTACCATCAAAATCAGATTGTAAATCCCTCAGCTGACAGTAAACTTCTTAAGACTTGTGTCTTAAAATGTATGCATCTTTACAGAGCACTTAGTAAAGTTACAGGCACAAAGTAGAGCCTTAGAAAATGTTTTTCCATTTATTTGAATTTATACAACAAATTCAAAAACTCACAGAATTTTGGCGTGTTTTTTTTAATTGTGCATTCATCTAGATTTGCTGCTAGATCACTAATATCAGCTACTCTGCTAAACGAATAGGGTGAACCAGATATAGTCTTCATGCTGTAGCAGCTCCATCTAATGTAAGGAAGGCAAATAAGTAAACCAGACAGAACAATACTGTGTCATGAGCATCAAGCATAGTGAAAGCACATGCCAGAAGCATCTGCTCATTCAAAGGAGGAGACAGAGCTTCTACTAAAAGGTGATATCTAAAATGAAACCGTAAGCACATAGTGGAACAAAGAGGGGGAAGGAGGTTCTAAGCAGAGGGAAAAGCATACCGCCAAGGTCAAGACATGTGAAAAACCATGCATTGGGAAACTGCAAACAGTTCAGTTGGGGGGAACTCTAGAGTGCTCTGTAGGCAGGGAGGGGATTTTGGAGGGTTTAGGGTACCATGCTAACTCAATCTTTACAGGCAACTTTGGAACACTAATAATGGTGGTACTCCTGTGTGCTTGTCCATTGCCAAATGTTTGGACTTATCCAAGCTCTCATCATGGAGCTATTACTAGGGACAAAGGAAAAGGAGAATATGCTTTTAAATAAGGTAAAATAATGTAAAATAATTCTTTTAGTTTAATGGTTTTAGCATATAGACACAAGTGCAATATATGCTTCTTTTTCTACATCTACTTGTTCTTCTTTCCCCTCCCTTAATCTTTACTAGATTCTGATCCCAAGCACATGAAGTCATCCTATGAAAGTGAGTAGCGAAGGGAAGGGTGTGGAAGATGAGAAGGAATAGATATAAGAGGGT